CCCACGTGAAGCGGAATATAAAGGGAGTGTGAGACCGGAGGGGAAAGTGAATGGCGGAGGACTGAGGGGGTCCCCCCTCCGCGTCCCCGGCCGCCCTGTTCACCCTCGTCCATCCTCCCTTCCCGAAGCTCGCCCTCGGAGGCAGGAGCGGCCGGCGCCTTCGGCCGCCGAGGAGGAGGAGGAGGAGGAGGAGGGGAAGGAGGCATCGTGCCGGGCGGAGCGTCGGGCCCCGTTTTCCTCCCCGGCGTCTTGAATACAAAGATTACGGTGCAGAAGGAAATTGCACTCGCCTCCTCCGCCCCCCGGTACCCGACACAATGCACCAGCCGCCGGAGTCCGCCGCCGCGGCGGCCGCTGCAGACATTAGTGCTAGGAAGATGGCGCACCCGGCGATGTTCCCTAGAAGGGGCAGCGGCGGCGGCAGCGCCTCTGCGCTCGGCGCAGCAGGTACCGGCGTCGCTAGTAATGCCCCCTCTTCCGAGGATTTTCCGCCTCCGTCGCTGCTCCAGCCGCCACCTCCTGCAGCAGCATCTACGTCGGGACCACAGCCTCCGCCTCCACAAAGCCTGAACCTCCTTTCGCAGGCTCAGCTGCAGACGCAGCCTCTAGCGCCAGGCGGGACTCAAATGAAAAAGAAAAGTGGCTTCCAGATCACTAGCGTTACGCCGGCCCAGATCTCCGCCAGCATCAGCTCTAACAACAGCATAGCAGAGGACACCGAGAGCTATGATGATCTGGACGAATCTCACACGGAAGATCTGTCGTCTTCCGAGATCCTTGATGTGTCACTGTCCAGGGCTACTGACTTGGGGGAACCTGAACGCAGCTCCTCAGAAGAGACTCTCAATAACTTCCAGGAGGCCGAGACCCCCGGGGCCCTCTCCCCCAACCAGCCACACCTTCCGCAGCCTCATTTGCCTCACCATCCGCAGCAGAATGTCGTGATCAACGGGAGCACGCATCCACACCACGTCCACCACCACCATCACGTTCATCACGGGCACCACCTCCACCACGGGCACCACCATCCATCCCATGCTGGTGTGGCGGGTGCGTCCATCTCCGGAGGGCCACCCCCAAGCCCAGTATCCAGAAAACTCTCTGCAACTGCAAGCTCTGACAGCGTGGTCCCAGCTGCACCAACTTCTGCTGTGTCATCGGGTGGCTCACCTGCATCTGTAATGACTAATATCCGTGCTGCAGGCACGACTGGCAGCATAGGTATAAATCCCGTCACTGGCGCTAACACAGTGAATAATGTTACCATTTCTGCTGTGGGTAGTTTTAATCCCAGTGTGACGAGCAGCGTGCTTGGTAGCGCTAATATCAACGCGAGCAGTGTTCCTAGTGCTGCTGGCGTGAGTGTGGGGCCTGGAGTGAGCAGCGGTGTTAATGTGAATATCTTGAGTGGCATGGGCAATGGTACTATTTCTTCCTCGGCTGTTGTTAACAGTGTCCCCAGTGCAGCTGCAGGGATGACTGTGGGATCAGTTTCGAGTCAGCAGCAACAGCCAACAGTTAACACGTCAAGGTTCAGAGTCGTGAAGTTAGATTCTAGTTCCGAGCCCTTTAAAAAGGGGAGATGGACTTGCACCGAGTTCTATGAAAAGGAAAACGCTGCACCTGCTACGGAAGGTGTGATAAATAAAGTGGTGGAAACTGTCAAACAGAACCCAGTAGAAGTGACTTCTGAGAGGGAGAGCACGAGTGGGAGCTCAGTGAGCAGTGGCGTCAGCACACTGAGTCACTACACGGAGAGCGTGGGCAGTGGGGAGATGGGGGCCCCCGCCGTGGTGCAGCAGCAGCCGCCGCCGCCGCCAGCAGCTCTGCCAGGTGTGGCCCTTCAGCAGGTGGACTTCGGCAGCCCTGGTCCACAGAGCATTTCAGCAGTTAGCATACCACAGAGTATTTCTCAGTCACAGATCTCACAAGTACAATTACAGCCTCAAGAACTGAGCTATCAGCAAAAGCAAGGTGTCCAGCCAGTACCTCTGCAAGCCACGATCAGTGCCGCCACTGGTATCCAGCCGTCACCTGTTAACGTGGTCGGTGTAACTTCAGCTTTAGGTCAGCAGCCTTCCATCTCTGGTTTGGCTCAACCCCAACTGCCGTATTCTCAGACGGCTCCTCCCGTGCAAGCTCCCCTTGCAGGAGCAGCACCCCAGCAGTTACAGTACGGGCAGCAGCAGCCGACAGTTTCTACGCAGATGGCCCCTGGCCACGGTCAGGCGGTGACTCAGATCCCTGCTTCAGAGTATGTACAGCAGCAGCCGATTCTGCAAGCGGCAGTGTCCTCTGGCCAGCCCGGTCCTGCAGGGGTGGGAGCAGGAGCAACGGTGATTCCCATGGCTCAGCCACAGAGTGTCCAGCTGCCAGTGCAGCCCGCAGCAGCCCCAGCACCACCTGCAGGGGCGTCCGGCCAGCCTGTGGGCCAGGCTCAGGCAGCAGTATCTGCCGTACCTACTGGCGGTCAGATTGCAAATATCGGTCAGCAAGTGAACGTGCCCACCGCAGTGCAGCCGCCCTCTGCCCAAGTCACACCTTCAGTCATTCAGCAAGGTGCTCCTTCATCATCGCAGATAATTCCGCCCGCTCAGCCCGCGATTATTCATCAGGGAGTTCAAACTAGTGCTTCGGGCCTTCCTCAGCAATTGGTCATTGCTCCCCAAAGTACCTTGTTAACTGCGCCTCCCCAGCCGCAGGGAGCAGAACCCGTGGCCCCGGGAGTCGTGGTGCAGCAGTTGCCGGCACTTAGTCCTTTGCCCCCTGCTGGTAGTGTTTCTGTTACGAGTCAGGTTAGCTCAGCCGGGCCTTCTGGAATGCCTTCTGCCCCAGCAAACTTGGTTCCACCACAGAATATAGCACAAACCCCTGCCACTCAAAATGGTAACGTGGTTCAAAGTGTTAGTCAACCTCCCCCGATAGCAACTAATATAAATTTGCCTTTGGCACAACAGCTATCACTAAGTTCTCAGTTCTCTGCACAATCATTAGCTCAGGCAATTGGAAGCCAAATCGAAGATGCCAGGCGCCCAGCGGAACCCTCCATAGTTGGCTTACCTCAGACTCTGAGTGGCGACGGTGGGGGCATGTCAGCAGCTTCAGATGGGAGTAGCAGCAGCCTAGCAGCCTCTGCTTCTCTTTTCCCGTTGAAGGTGCTACCGCTGACGACACCCCTGGTGGATGGCGAGGATGAGAGGTAAGATCACGCCATGTTTCTGCAGACACTCAACACATTCACAGTTAGCTTAGTAGCTGTGTGTGTGCGTGTGCGTGTGTGTGCGTGCACAAAGTTAGTCTAACACATGATACATTCATTTTTATATGGGAAAATGCATTTTGTGGTAAGTTTCCTAGAGCAGGAGTGTTCTGGAATGGTTTCAGAGTGGATAGGAAGTGGTATAAGTAACATGTAGACTTTTGACAGAATGGTTAGCATTAAGAATAGGTTTGGGAGCACCAAGTGGTTTTTGTTATTTATAAAATGCTTTTTAGAAAGATTACTTATGAACAGAAACTTAACTTTTGCTAACTCACATAATAGTTAATCTTTTGAATCACCGAAATCCTTATCTTGGGGGTGGGGTGTGATGCCCACATTTGTTTCTCCTTTACTAGGCTGGACAATCCTTTTCAGTTCTACTGCTGTTCGATCTTCATCTGTGAAAGATAATCTTACCAGCTTTTCCTAGTCAGACGTTATAGGAAAGACGACCTAATATGCATTGTATAGGTTGTCTTCATACCGTAATTGACCAACGTTTGTGTGCTTATTTAATGGTCATTTTGTCTGAACAGTAAAGGGATGAGAATCTTAAAAAGTTTTTTTCTTTCTTTTGTGGGAGAGGAGGGCATACACTGTCAAAATAACTAGATTTATTTTTGATGGTGGTATGCTGTACATTTTCCCTTTGGCATAGTAGAGCAAGGTGGTAGCCATTTTAAAGAGTAAAGAAAGTCTTGGAGGGTTGAATTTATAGAGGCAGGAAAGTAAGACTTTGTTCTGCTAATCTGCACCACCTGTTCCATTCTTCCTTTACCAAAAAATACATAAAGCCTAAAATCCGTTATTAAACTAGCATTTTCTTAATTGAATTGGAAATAATGTGCTAATCACACTTAACTGAGTCAGATTTTTTCTTTGAAGCTGACTGGCTAGGAAAGTTGTGAAATCTCACGATTCTACATTGCTTTGAACTAAGTTGACTTTAAAGGAATGTTCTTTTCACGAATTTGCCAGTCTGACTAACCTTGATCAAAATAATATCGTAGACTTTATGACAAAGACTATTCATCGTCACCGTGGAACTTTGAATAAGCTTGAAAGATATTTAATTATTTTAGTATTAGTTGGAGATTTTTGTGATTGAACTTTCATAAGACCAAGGGGAACATTTCTATCCTAAATGTATATTTGAGGTTTACACTTGGAAAAATTGAGCATATTTCAAAAGAATTGCAAGTTTAGAAAAAGAAAAAGGCCAAATGCTACAGTAAGGTTTTCAGGATTTCGTTACTTAAAAGAGGTAAGGTAAAGGCGTGGTTTATGGAACTAATTTAAAATCTTGTCTTTCAAGATTTTATTTTTCAAATAGTCATGTAATTAAAACCTTGTTACCTAACCAAATGTATTCTGCACCAGGTGTACAAAACTGTACTTTTAAAGGTACAGTTCTTCTGGGAGGTAATTTCCTTAATAGCCCTATTATAATTATTGTTAAACTTTTAATTTTATCATATATTATTACTCACCAATAGTTAATACCTATGATTTTAAATAATTATTTACACCACATATTACTGTTTTCTAACTCTAAAAGGTCTGATCTGAGAGAAGCCCCTATAAAAACAGGTATATTAGACGGATGGTAAATTTAGAGAATGGAAAGGTCAGTGAAATGTACAGATGAAAACCACACCTTTTGAATTCACATCTGCCATGATTTTTGTGAATCGCCATTTGTGGTCGAGTATGACTTTCTCCTTGTTTCCCCACTGGTGGTAGGGAGTGATAGAGCTTTCCACGATCGCTGTTCCAGACACTTAAAGTCAGAGGTTACTACTTACAACTAAGTTTTTAACTATAGGGGTAGAATCTCAGTTTAAGATAGTACGAAATTAATTTTTCCATATTATAACTGAGATGAAGATTAATTAGGGGCAAATTATGTAGAAAGGTTTGGAATTAAAGGGACAAAAAGAGATACGGAGAAACAGGATTAAGTAGTAGTATAAAGTAACTTGAGTTGACAGTACCTCTTTTGAATTTACTACGTATCTGAGCCTGTGTTAACACAAAAGTGAAGTCATCAATTTTGGGAAATTTTTGTTTCAGAGGTAGCCTTTAAATTCTGAAAAATCAGAATGTTTTACCCCTAAACCACCTGTAAAGGTCAGAAAAGATAAATATGTATGTTATTTTCTTTATTGTGTTCTACTGCAGATTATTTTTTTATCACTGTAGTTTGGAAGAAGAAATGTTATTTTATTTAAATTTGCTTTTGGAAGGGAATTTGAAAATACCTCCAAGAGAAAAAAGTGATAATGATGTAAAAAATTCTTTCTACCCTTCCTTCCCATGATAGCTTCTGTGTCACTTGCGTTTTCTGGGCTTGGTCACCTGTTAGGTCTCTAATGGGAGAATGAGTTCATTGTAATTTAAATATTATGACTTAGAAGACATATTAACAAACTTCTGGGTGGTAGACAAATCAAGGATAGCTATTCTTTAGTCGTCTTTTAAAATAATACTCTTAACACTTTAAATTTTAAAATGTTTATTAGACAGGTGGAAAATACTTTCGACTGGCCACTGGGAGACACTATAAAGTTTAGAAACATAGATCAGGCATTAAGATTCTATATCTTGCTTTTTAAACATCGTTCTCATCAAGAAGGTCTTAATGCAGCCTTCAGCACGAACTTACCTTTACAACGCGGGAAGCAGAGGTATTCCACACTGACATAGAATCTTTTGTGTTTTGTGGTTATTAGTACGGCCTCTTATGTGAAATTGTTCATGCTTCTACTCATGCTTCAAGACCCAGCTCAGACGTCCCCTCTGAAGCATTGCCCTCACCCAGGGACCATTGCTCGCTTAGCACTTTTTAGGGTTCCTCTGTTTAAGCCACGCACACATTCGGTCATAATTACCTTTACCCATTTTCCCCACAATACCATGTGTTCCTTAAGGGCAAGAGCAAGTATTTTTTTGACGAATCAGTGAGCAGACTTTTCTCTGCTCTTATTATCGTGTTTTAATGCTAGAGATGCAGGATCATATAATTTAGGCAACAAATTGAAAAGAATGAGTAAAAAAATTTGCTTTTTGTACCTCTTTTACCTCATCATTTTTTCAGGTGAATTGATATTGTTCTTCGAAATATGGTGCCTGTTATACAGTAGGCCCTCAAATATTAAAGAGAAATGAGAGTTTTCTTATCTATAAAATAAAAGTAACACTTGTTTTGCCTACTTCTGAGGATGGTAGCATCAGGTAAAATACTTTACGTGTAAAATACTAAGTTATTAATTTTTTTTATTATTATTTATGCCTACAGCACCTGGTCTTCCTAGGTGGTCTCCCATCCAAGTACTAACCAGGCCCGACCCTGCTTAGCTTCCAGGATCAGACATGGAGCTTGTTCAGGGTGACGAGGCCGTAGACCATGGACCGTGGTTCCACTGGGGCGCGAGCCCAGGACCTTCTGCGTGTAATGCAGACGTGCCCACCGCTACACTATGGAGCCACGTCCATAAGTTTTCATTTTCACTTAGGTTAATACCCGCACAGTTTGAAGAGCCAAATAGTTTACATGGTTATCAGGACAAAAGCTTCCCATACCTTCCTCTGCGGACGCAGTCGCTCACATCTTTTACACGATCGTTGTGGCATTCACCGCGCAGTCTCTGAACCACACACCTGTGTTGCTGCTGGATGTGCAGCGTAGCTGGGTGGCTGGGAGTGGGGACTCCGGAAGGGGATGGCTTGGGTTTGGTCCTGCTGTCGTTCACTAGTTTTATGTGTAACACTGGGCTGCTTAACCTTTCGGTGGCTCAGTTTGCTCATTTTAAAAAATGGGGATAATAGTTCCTACCTCGTAGGTTTGTTACAAGAGTTAAAGAAATCTGGAAGGCCCCGAGAGCTGTGTCTAACTCATATGCCCTACATAAGTGTGTGTTAAATAAAATACTTCTTGCTTTTGTTTTTGGACTTATTCCAGGATAGAAAATGAGTTAATGTTGTTATCGTCACCTAATCCGCTGTTCCCCCGTCCTTCCAGTTAACGGTTACGGTTTCATCACTGTCGGTTGTTCAGTATTCTTGTAAAATACGATAACCTTTCCTGCCATGTACAGCGTCCTGCACTCACCTTCCTTCTGCATCCGCCTCGCTGTCCGGTACATCTGGTATGCTCGTGTATGTGGGATATATTTCTGTCTACTATTTAGCATATAGAAAGAAATGTTAGTAAGTCACCCCCCACACCCCCCCAAGTTTCCATGTGTCAACATAGTCCGTTTCCTTCAAGTTGGGACCTTTCCTCCCGTTTTTGTATGTTTTGGGCTTTGCTTTTCGCGATAGAACCTTTTCCAGATGTCTGGTAATTCTTGGTTGTGCGCTTGCACGTAAGTGCGGGAGACTGGAGAGCTGGTAACAAATTCTTAGTCTGACTTGCTGACTGGTAACTTTCCCGTAGAGTGATTGGCTGGGGCTCATTTCATCCCCGCCCCCATCCCTTCAGCTTTCTCTTCAGTTATCACTAATTCAGCTTTTCATCAAATGTGTCTCGGGATGTTCACACGTATCGGGTACTGTTGTCCGTTTAATCTTCCTGAGGCAGCCCCTCTGTCGTCCCTCTGCCCTCCGTTCTGGCTGGCCGCCGTCCAGACTTGGTGTACAGTTTTCTCCACGAGATTCCCGTCGGCTGCTCCTGAGGTTGTAGCCCCACTTGCCAGTGACCCATGTCATGCTTATTCTTGATCGACTTGGTATTTTAAACTGGCTTTAGTTTACCCAGATACTTATTTGATTCTTTGGTTAGGTAAAGAATACCAGATGGGAAATCATATTGTTTTATGCTTTTGCTCTATTGCTTTCTAGCTTCTCTGTTGCTTTTGAGAAGTCTGAAGCCATTTTGATACCTCGTATGTTGTGTGTGACCCGTGTGTATGTTTGTTTTTCCTTTTCTTTCCTCT